AGCCTAGTAGCTCGCTTAAATTCATGCACTCTGGAAACCAATGAAAGTATCTTGTCGGAATAGTTCCCGTGAAAATACTTGTAGAAAAGACGGAGGGAAACCACGACATGTCTGTGAGAAAGCGACTGTAGATGAGATGGCAGATCAGGACCTATAGTATTGCATATTCGTCTCTGGTATTGGTTTATGACTGCATATTTAATTTTAATCCACCAAATAGAATCATTACCGACCAGGTAGGCTGTGTTGCTATATATATATATATATATATATATATATATATATATATATATATATATATATATATATATATAGAGAGAGAGAGAGAGAGAGAGATGTAAAAAAGGTAATGGATTCATAAGATGCCCCATATCCAAAGGTTCGGATAGAGCGTTAAAAGAATTAATGTGGAGAAACTTATAACTTAACTGGATCGTGTTATTTCTGCAGAGCAGAGAAGCCAACAGCCCTGAAGAGCGAAGGCATTACTACAATGCGCACATGAAACTTCGAAGTCGGCCTGTCTGAAATAGCACCACTCTGTCAAGTGATAAGTTTCTCAGCATTAATGATATATATATATATATATATATATATATATATATATATATATATATATATATATATTATTGCAATGACTATAATTTTAATGATTACACGTGTTGAGTTGACATACCTGTTCATTTTATTTCATTTTTGGAAACAGTTAAATTAATAGCAACGGGCCCATATCGAGAAGGTCTACTAAAGAAAACGTACCTCTCAACAGAAATTGAACCTGCATTGGGGGTGTACATTCTTTTTTTTATTATGACTTCTCGATCAAGGCCAATTTTAGAAAACAAAATAAGACTTTTCGTTTAGGCATATATGAGAAAAGAAAATATAAAACACGGGTATATCCGCTAAAAATAACGTTTATAAGAAATAATGTCGGATTAAAAAATAAATGCAGTCAAATATATATATATATATATATATATATATATATATATATATATATATATATATATATATATATATATATATATAGGGTGTTTCATTAAGACGGATCAAAGTTAGCAGTAAATAAATCAGTGTTATTGGTGAAAATGTATTTATTTCTCTATTGGATCATGTTATTTAAGTCATGGCAATTATGTATGAAAATAATATCACCCAAATGTCCGCCAAGGCTTCGGCGGCACATCTCCATTCGATGGTCAAAATTTTTGATGACTTCTCTGTATAGTTGATCATTGATCTCATCAATATGCCTTATTATCTAATCCTTCAGCTTTTGAATTGTTGTTGGCTTGTTGGCATAGACCTTACTTTTGAGATGACCCCAAAGGAAGAAATCTAAAGGTGTCAAGTCACATGATCGTTGTGGCCAATTGACTTCGCTGTTTCGAAAGATGATGCGACCTGTGAACTTCTCATTCAAATTCTGTTTGAACGTTCATTTTTGTAATAAGTTTCATGAACTTTAACACGTTGTTTGATTGTTAATCTTTCCATGTTTGAAATTGGCAAAGACATCATGAGACGCTTATCTTAATTCATTTTTTAAAACGGTCCAAATTATTGGAACACCCTTTATATTACTTCGAATGGTTGTGTTTATTGGATATTCGTGCTTGAAATAGACGCCCCTGTTTTATTTTTTGAACAGCGTGTATTACGTCTACCATTATATATATATATATATATATATATATATATATATATATATATATATATATATATATTATGTTACATTGGATCATGGAAATATGTACTACAAAATTGTACATTTTGATTCAACGTTAAATCAACGTGGCAATGATGGTACTAAATGATTTTATTCAGAATTACCATTATATAAAACACAGCTTCACTTACTGGCTTTGGAAAATTTTCCATAAAAGGTAAAATATTTACACGTTCTAATGTAACATTGCATAATAAATATTTCTTGCTTTAGTTTTGTATTGATCCCTGCTTTAAATTAATGTTTTGAACGTTGAAATTTTATTCTTTGTTCTTTTACATTTGTATATATATATATATATATATACTCACACACACACATACACATATATATATACATATAATCAAATTGATAAATATAGGTAAATGTACAAGCATGCGGTCGTATACAAATAAAATAAAAATCAGATGAACGAAAATTATAGACAGGATGAAAGCAGAATTAAGAACATTATAAAAAAAATGCATAACACCAGTTGACAATAACAAAAAATTAGATTAATTATTTATTATAAAAATTTAAAACCTCTAACCTTATAGTTAAAAATAATAATTCACCTCCTAGAACAAAATTAAATAGGGCAAATATTATTTACGAATTTAAATGCCCCTTAAGGAATTGTATTCCTGATCAATCAAAATTCGTAAATAATTATATAGGCCATACTACTACATGTTTGACACGAAGACTCACTCTACACCTTTCTGACCATAGCTCAATTAGATCTCATTTAAATATTCATGGAGACTTACCAGACACTATTCGGAACATACTTGTTGACAACACAAATATAATAGCATCATCTACATGAAAAAAGGCTAAAAATAATGGAAGCCTTATTAATAAAAACATACAAACCAACACTTAATAATATTAACTTTGAACATGGACATAATATCTTGACCGTGTTTCGTAACCAAAAAAATATGAAAACATTTTATAAAACATACATACAGCAAACTATTTCTAATTTCCACAGTTAAAATATAACCCTTGAAAATGGCGAAAGCGCTCGGATAAAAAGAACATTCGGACTGTCTTTGTTTAATTTATCATCCGAAAAGAAAAATTATTAGATCGCATGAGAAATTCTATAAAAAAACTAAATAAAAGCACCTTGTCTGTCGTTTTCAATGAAATGGGCATGAAAGAAGGATTGCTGCCTAAATACACAAATATATATATATATATATATATATATATATATATATATATATATACTATAATATAAGAAAAACAGTGCTCAATGTTAAATATTGTCATGCGTGTGTTTGATTAAACAGAAGATTGTGAACTAGTTGGTATCGTATTACTTTAGCATCTAAGGTTTATCTTCGATATTAACAACACCGGCCCCTATAGGGATGACGGTATTATACTACTACGCAAAGGAAGTGCACAAAAAATGACCGACTAAGAAAAACCTCTTTAAATTTTCAAAGATCACAGTTTGAGCATTACCATCACAAACAACGCTAAATTAATCAATTTCCTGGATATAACATTTGACTTGTCTAATGGACATTATAAACCATATACTAAAGATTTATACAACCATAGCTACATCAGCAAACAATCAAACCACCATCCTAGAATACTAAAAGATTTACATAAATCGGTTCAATTTAAGTTCTCCACCGTCTCTAGTAATAGGGATATTTTGACAAACCTAAAGGTAAACATGTAGAAGCACTAGAACAAAGTAACCTTAAAATTAACCTCGAATTCTTAGCGAATGACATTACCAAACCAAAACGCCGAAAATGCAATATAATATGGCTTGAAGGGTTTAGCTGTCGTTACGGTTTTCAGAAAAAATTTAATGAGGGCAGTACTGTATTGGATATTGCCTAATATCATTTTGTGGTGGTAGAAGCGTGATTTCCACTGGTTTCATCAAAAATGTCAAAATTAATATCGGATTTTTTTTTAATTTAATCCAGAAGGACTTCAGTCATTCCAACAATGCGAAATAAGATTTTGTTAAGTTAGCTACAGTTGTCCCAAAAACATCGACCAGAATATATCACATCCCAATTGTACAATTCTAAGAAAAAAACATTTCAGCAACCTACAAAACAGTAACATCATCACCACAACTAAGGAATGCAACTGCCGAAAAAATAAACTCTGCCCATAAAATGGCAGGTGTACGACAAAAATCATTAGTCTCTAAAGCTAAAATTAAACATGACGACAAGGTCAAGTTTTAAGCGAGCTCTACTGAAAACTATCGGAATATATATATATATATATATATATATATATATATATATATATACCGGGTGTATCAGCCAAATTGTTCAAGTCATGTCGCAGCATAATTGTCCATCCCAAAAATGTTTAATATGTAAAAATCACTAAACTAATTGAGTTTCTTTTTTCAAGGTTTTCTGATAATACGTTTAGTCATCTTGACACCATTTGTCGTAAGAATCACTGAAAAACCCTTTGAGTTATTCAGCTAAAAAGAGTATTGATTAAAATCGTTTTGTGTCACCCACGATTTATCCTCCAAACTGAGCAATGTTGAGAAGAAAAAGACCATTCACGCCTTCAGTAATGGTATGAAAATTCATACTCTGGCTTCCATCTTTAAAAAAAAGTCCATTCAATAACCATGAAGAGAACGGTGAATAAGTTTCAAAAGGGAACAGTAGAAAGGAAAACTGGATAAGGAGGTCACAACAATAAGAGGGATCATCATTTCAACTTAGAGTTAAAGAGATCTATTAGAAAGGATCCAACTCAATTCCTAAGATGTTTGGCACGTGAGAGAAGAGTTTCATCTACGTCAGTCCAAAGAGCAGCGAAATGAAATCGTACGTGAAGCCTGTGAGGTAGTCTGTTACTCAAGGACAGAAAGTTGGAAAGTTAGAGAGGGTGAAGATCATCTTTAATAAGTTGGAAAATGATCGTGGAATAATATATATATATATATATATATATATATATATATATATATATATAAGCTTTATATCAATCCTTCATGAGATTCCGATCCTTAGCAATGATTTTCGTTTATGATCGATGTCATCACGATTCTTCTGTTAAGCTTAGAGTAATTATACATTATTATTGCTCAAAGTAGATTTCAGTGCTGTTATAAAATCCTCGGAGAATTCTTTAATCATTTCTAAGATACAAGGTTTCAAAACTTAATCTAACAATTGGACAATTTTGCTGTTACACAATTTGGATAAATGTTCTGTTACACCGCTATAGGTATATATGTATATGGATAAAAAAGCAAAAATGGAAATGCCTA